TGAGTATTTTTCTATGTTATGTTCATGTTTATGTTCATAAACTTTTTATTTAATAAAATATGTTTTCATAGTTTGTGTTGTCCCTTATTATCAATGCAAAATGGTCACTAACTAAAGAGGATTTATGCTGATATTGCCCAAAAACCCTATTTTGTTCAGGCGTTTCCAAACTTTTGGAGGGCAGTGTATATATATAAGTGAAGCTCATACACTTCACTAAAGTACACTCCTGGTGTTGATTCACATTCAGTCGCTCAGCTCTCCCACATAAAGCAGCCATTTATAATGAGTCTCATTCACACAGGTAATATGAGCCACAGTGAAGGATTGGCCAGTCTACAGAAAAAGCTAACAAAAAATGTCACCAAACAACTTTTTAATGGTTAGAGCACACTGTGTTTTGAGTGCGTTATCTATTATATCTATTTGCACTACATATACACAATAATAGTCTTCATTACTGGTTGTGTAAGGCTTCACAAGCTAACACCACATGTGTAGGATGCAATCTTGTGCTTATTGTGCGATTACTATTGGCACATCAGCACATACGACACAAACTAATCGGCAGCTTCCAGACTTGGTTCTGTTGTGCAGAAGTGTCCATTTCCATCATTTCCAAACTGAAGGGGGGAAAAATAGCATGGCTTCACCTGAATTCATAGAATGATGTGTAGACAGATAAAGGTCTCACAAAAGAAGTTATAGGGAGAAAAGGAAATAAAATTTTGTGAACCCAGTGACAGTCTAAGTGGATTACACTCAATGATGCATACAGTTACTGGGAAAAAGGGATGTATAGGGGAAATAATAAAAGAAGTCAGATTTGTTAGTCATCCCTGGCTTTTCCCAACACTACAGAAAGCACAGTCTAACACCGCTCTCTCTCTTTCTCTCTCTCTTTCCATCTCTCATTCTCTCTCAAGTTCAAAAACTGAACCTGTTCTTTCTTGTCCAGTAGAACATTCCCACAGGTAACATTCAGCCAGCACAGAGTAAAGCCTGAGGGAACATTTAGGGCCATCGGAGGCTGTAAAGCTCTATCGTGTAATAGCGGGCGTGACTGGGGCCACAGACAGTAGCAGCCATGTTCTCTTTTGGCAGTCGGTGATGGGGGCAGGATGATGTCATAACCCTAAATGAATGCCTGGTTGTACTTTGGTACTGCACCAGTTCTGTGCAAATAAATGAGGCTGGGAAAAAAAAAAAAAAAAAAAAAAAAGTCGACCGTAAGACAAAATCAACTGAAACCCAAAAGCCACCTCAGAAAACTGCAGGCACAAATTACAGTTTGTGCTTCATATCATACAGTTGTAGTCTAAAATTAAAATAGCCAAGAGCTTATATAACCATTTGAAGAATACATACTGTCCAAATATTATCAGAGTTGCTGTAAGAAATAATAGTGCAGTGCTGCGTTTGACTTACCTCGGAAGTCCTGGTGTATGTCATTGTCGACCTCCGTTCAATAGAGCTAAAAAAGATGGACACCTCCATGTTCATCTTTTGTTAGCAGCAATCTAGCCAGCTAACTGTGAAGAGTGATCTATATTTTCCTCCTCAAAACAGTGAACTGTGTCGTCAATGCCATCGAAAATTAACATGTGAATACGTCTGTATGTTGATTGATCTAAAGTACCCATATATATATATAGTATATCTTATTTAAAGGTAAGAGGTGCTACAGTGTTTACTGCTGATGCTGTGAGCAGCCATGTTGATTTGATGTCACTTGCTGAACTTGGAGGAACTCTGAGTTGAGGAGACCATCCCGAGTTCCCAAGTAGGAATTCC